GAATGTCTGGAGGTGTAGGCACCTCGGAATGATTGTGTTAAGCTAGCACTAAGTCCCTTCCCCGTCCACCTTTATTCTTTTCTTTACAATAAGGCTTTCGAATAAGTCATGGTTGTAGGGTGTTGAACACTGATGTCATGCTGTCGATGATGATACCGGAAGATGGTATAATAGTGGTCAGTTTACTCAACAGAGCTTGTGCTCGCCGTCTCAAAATATGATCCTATCAGCGGTTGAGATGGCTGAATTGGTTAGAGCGCGAATTTACTGACCGGAAGGTCCGTGGTTCGAACCTGACCCTTGCATCTCGACTTCCCCTGTCTAGGCTTGGGCAGTATCCCAGCCCTCGTGCTTCCTTCGGGTAGCATGGCAACTGGGCACCGAAAGGGTGTTACAGCTGAACGATGGTTCTACCATAGATACTGGAACGGCAATAATGCTTCCAGCAATCAACATTGGTGACCTTTCTTGACTAGAAATCTGCTTCTGACTCTGTGGATCGTCGAGACTATGGCAGTGTCTATGAAGCAGACGTGCCCCCCCTTAAGGCGCTGTACGCCAAATTGGATCTGACGCCGAGGTAATACAAACATTAAATAATTCCAATAGCTCTGCCTCACGGTTGGGCATACACTTTACACCCGCAAAGTCTAAAGTGCTGGTGCAAGACCGTGTGGTTCGGGACCCAAACCTCATGCTTGCGAATCAGCCGATCGAGGTAGTAGACAAAGTTGCCCATTTGGGCAGCTGGTCATCAACCCGATTAGAAAGACAAGGACATCTTTCGTGAACCTGCATCACCTATGACGTAGGTGTGGCATCAGGTTATCTGTCAATGCTGCGGTGTATTCCATGATAGACTGGTCAGAAACACGGTTGTTGCGCGCCGAGGTGAGAAAACTTAGTGTTTGAACATCGACATCCTCGGAGCATTGCCGGAGTCCGGTGGGAAAACCGGATCAGTAAAGCTGAAGTACGTAGAATGTTTCGGAAATAACTCGCCACGATCAATTGAGTGATCACACTATAAAGTGCGCTGGTTTGGCCACGTGCTTCGTTTGTCAGTCGGTCGACTTCCTCAGACAGCACTTTTCGCACAACCACGTGAAGGGTGGAGCCAAAGGCCCTACAATTGACAGCACAGTACGAGAGCCATTACCACCAAACTCAACTGCATTGGTCATTGCAGTCTCCCTGGAAGAGGACCACGTGTGGACAGTGGTTAGGGGTAAAGCATCATCATTGTCAGCTGTAAGAACCTCGTACTTGTCGTACAGTGGTTGTAGCTGTCACAGTTTCCTTCACCGATGATTTGGGGAGGTAATGTAGGTAGCTGTGCGTCGGGGTCGGGTCTGATAAATTGATGCGCAAATAGAAGACTGTGAATGGACTGTCAAGTAGGGGGTTGGGAAGTGAGCTACGCATTGAAGGCAATAGTTTGAAAGCACGAGTGCCATTGACGGCGCGACTGGGTCATGTTTGACAATGTCTCCAGCCATTGATGTGGTCCGTCCCGAGGTCCCCATCCAGGAAGATAGCAATGACCAGCGCAGCTAAGTTTGCTGGTAATGACCTTTAAGCTTCGCTGCCAAATCATTTTTTTACCGCCTCTAGCTCGTTTGCACCCGTCACGCGGTTGTGCGAGAACACTTCGAGGAAGTCGGTCGACTGGCACACGCAGCACGTGGCCAAGTCAGTGAAACCTATGCAGTGTGATCAGCTCATCCATTGAGGGTAAGTTATTTCTTCCGAACACCTGCGACCTATTTCAGCATTGCCGATCCGGTGTTCCTACCAGATTCGGGCAATGCTCCGAAGACATCGATGGTCAAAGCACCGGTGTCATGCAGACCTTTCCTTGAAGGCGAACAGCACCAACAGCACTCATATTCCTTGTAGAACTATCCACTAGATATGGAGTGGACGTGCTTGCGGACACCACGTTTTGCTGGAGAGCACTTCGAGGAGCCACATAAATAATGTGCATCCGAGTGTCGGATTATGTTTACGAACATCCGGGACATCCTCAGTTGAATGAGTGACCAACGGATATAACCAAACGCGTCTTTTAGGTCAAGGAACCCCAAGATTGCGCTGCTACGTGAATGAACAGCCTGAAGATGCGGCACAACTCGTAGGCATGTCCAGAATTTCCGCTTTTTCAGCCTTCTGAATCTACCAAGCTACCCTGTCTGTGCGGATTGTTTCACCTGTCATCGGATCGGTTGTCGAAACCGGTTGTGGTTGTGACGGGACATCATCATCAACAACCGTAAGAACTGTTTACTTTCCGTGGAGTGGTTATAGATGCCACAGCTTCGTTCGCAGATGATTTGGGCAGGTGAGATAGATAGTTACCTATTGGTGGCTGATGTATTTGATCGCAAATACAGGGGTGTCAGTGGACTCTTCATTGGGAAGATCGGGAGCGGAGCTAAACGTTGAGGGCAGCAGCGTGGATACGTGATAACCATTCAGAGAGAAGCTGGTCCACGTCTGACAATGCCTCTAACCATTCACGTGCCCGGTTCAGGATTTCCAGCAAAATCACGGCCCTGTAAGTTAAAGGTACTTACGCCGTAAAGGTACTTACGTCATGTAACGATAGGAAGTAACACGGTAGATGTTATCAGTCAGGTTGATTTAGCGGCCTAGTAACCATATGCTTGCCGATGGGGCCGATGGTACCCCGAATCCCGTAGTTTTCAATCACGTGCAGGAAAAAACACGAAGCCCCTGTCTAAGCAAGACTGCGCAGCAACTTTCGCCGCGTTACCATACCATGGCCTGAACCCCCATGAACATTTCACCCGCAGGTGTCCGAACCGAAACCCATGGTTTCCTTTGACAGGCGGTGATCTGGTACATGTTCCAATCAACTTACCCCAGAGAGCTTCATTCATTGATCTCGTTTCGTTACTAAGTCTTCGTTTGCAGGCAACTTCTCTGCAGACATGTCATAGCCAACTCATAGGGGCTGACAGTGATTGACCTTCTGATGGACAAGGTCAAACCCGTCGTAACATTGCACTTCATTGGAGTCTACTTAAGGTGCCAAAGAAGAGTTGAATATTACGTGCGCCTTGAAAATACGTGAAATATAAACAAATAGAAGGATTAGTGAAAAGCCAACCAGAGAAAACCGCTGACATCCCAGAGTTATCACCAGCGCGAACTGGAAAGCGCTGGCAAAAGCAGGTTCAACAACGGTCTAACGTAACGGTCGTTTAGTGTAACCTCTTTCGGTGCCCCACTGCCATGCTATTGGGAGAAGCACGAAGGTGGATATATTGCCAGGTTGCCAAAGCCTAGACAGGAGCAACTGAGATGCCGACGTTAGTTCGAACCACCGGCCTTCCGTTCAGCAACTTCGCACCTTAAACGGAGTCATCCTGACCTTGGCCGGAAAACTCGAATGATTCTGTGTACTCCGATGGGGCATGCACCCAACAGGCTTCCTCTAGTTGACGATGGCATAAGCAAAATAAAGGTCTTCAACACTGCTGTCCGTCGTAAGCCGCGGGAATGGAGAATTCTCATTCGGGAAACTGAGATACGAAACTACGACCAAATACAACAGAACCATTCAATTGAATTGCCCCATTAAAGTTCTCACAACCCAGGCATACTTGAAAAGTGCGACAAGCGGAAGTTTATATCTAGTCCCTGAGAATCAGTGGATGGGAAGTAGACTGGAGTGGTCAACCAATGATGGATTGCATTACATATGAACAAGATACATGACAGTCATTAGGATTCCCTCGCCTGGACCGGGATACGATACTTCTCCACAAGGTATTTCCATCCATACGATTCCTCCCCTATATCACGGACGACTATGCAGGAGGCTGAGACGACCTTCCTTGCCTTTCCTTCTTTATCGTATTTGCATAACCCGGCGAGCTCCCCAAGTTTCTTGTTATCTGCAACCTAAAAACGATGAAAACTGACAAAAACTGTTACCTTGATAAGCGGGATTTCGTGTTCTCGACAGAGAGCTTCAATCAAGCAGCTGTATGCCTTATCGTTGCAATTCTCTGCTAAGAAGCAACATACTGCTTTCCTCTGCTCTATCGCTTTCGAGCATTCATGCAACCCACGGAAAATACCACGACATTTAGCCGCGTTCTTTAGCACTTGCTGAACAGCGCTGTCAAGGTCCAACTCGTTTAAATTCATTCTGTTCGAGAGAATTAATCACTCTGAAATCAAATGCGAAAGGAGCGTTATTAAATCGAAGAGTGGTCCATGATACAAGCAAAAATCAAAAATAAACCAGGGAACCCACATGTCGTGACTTGTTGCAAACCTCCCGCACTGAGCTGGGCCGGGTGTTTAAAACTGACCGGTTCAGTTCACCCCTTCCGAAGCTAAGTATTCACACAATGGAATGGAATTTTCGAAGGCTATGACGTGTCCCTGATGAACCGAAGCAATCAAGCAATTCAGTTAGGACTACCAGTCCAAACTTTCCAGCCCCATCTAGGTATCCCGTGGTCGCAGCGATGCCAGGAAAATATTCCACCAGACTTTTTATGCCAGGGGTAGGTTGCTTCAGTGGACAATGAAACTTCGTAGGCTGAAAAAATATGTTTGTAGACTAAAATGATTTTTGGTTTGAGCGCAAGAGCAATTATATGCAACATTTTGGCGTAAAAATTCTTACTTCGTTCACAACTTTTTTCCAGCTGAGAACATTGTGCGGCCAATCGGCCCCCTCCCATACGCCTTACTCGATCTGTTCATTTGTAGTCCTTAACTATGCACACCCTGGAAAAATAAACAAATATTTGGTTGGATTTTATACGAGTAGGGGGTCTGAAGCTTGAAACCTCTGCTCATGGATACGGTTTCTGACATCAGCTTTGGCTTGGTATGGGGGTGACAGAGAATGACAATAGATTCACGAGTTTCGTGGGTATCTTAAGGGTCCATTATGACAAAAGTTCTGGAAGGTCCATAATGAGTGAGGAATGAAAATATGGAAAATATGGAGCAGTCAACCCAGTTGCTTCACGTTAACTTGACAGTACATTTCATAGTAAGGTGATAACGAAAAGCTAAAAGCGCCGTGGTGATGTACACCGTCTCGAATATGTGAGGAAGTACTGAAACTATGCGCTAAAAAGCCCCTGTCTGAACACGTAGACAAAACTCAATAGGGACAAGCTCTATAAACATGAGAAGATTTCTAGGCTCTCCAAATATCAGGTGGCAGGCCTCATGCAAATGCTGTGGATAAACAGATTTGGCCGTTTGCACGTAATCATGCATCTATTCCTGATATGCCAATGGGCCAAATAATAACCCATGGGAAAACCAACAAATTTGTTTCCGTCAGCTTTATCACAGGGAGGGGGAGGGGACAAATATAGTCACTTGCAACCTATTCGTAACAGACCTTAGGCTTAGGTGAACTGTCCAATAGTGTGTCACATTAAAGTGCTTAATAGAAAGATCCCGGCGAGGGTTGTGTAACAGGAAACCGTGATTCGATCCCGTAGGCTCAGCACAGCAGTGGAATATCCCTGAAAGTTATATGGAACGCTTGTTGTAAAATTCGTCCAGCTGTCAAGAATGTCATTCTGAGTGACACAAAAATCGCCAAAATAAGGTTGTCGCAAATCGAAGCTCCGCTACTAAAGTCTAAATCGCGTGCGCAGTGTGAATGCAGATTTGTTGGTGGAAAGGACGTCCAGGGATAAACCGTTATCCTGGAACATGTTGAGGAAATTGAAACGGGAATATGTTCAGCGTTACGGTACTTAACGAAATTTTTGTGCACAAAGTTGGATGGGACTCCCAAAAATAAAATTCATATCTAGTGAGTGACTGGCCAAATTCTTAGGATAGTCGCCTGCAAGGAAACCAGTTTTAACTTGGTAGGCAGATACAACAACACTATACGCATCACCACTGCAGCAGTATATGTGCGATCGTGAGTATATTGAGCCGGATCGAAAGTTCAAGCTTAACTTTGACGAATGATTTGGTTGCCTCTTCCTGAAGACCACGTGTTCCACTTAAAATGTTCCGCTTAAAAATTGTTGAATGGGTCCCCATAGGATTTACCCGCTGCAGATTGAGTAACTAATTTTGTCAGCCGCAGGTATGAAGTATTGCCTAGTAACCTCGCTTGACGACTTCCAACATGGCACGGTAAGTGTCCCACAACAACGGATCATGCACACAATAAGACTTGTACGGCCGGAAAAATCCAATCCATATGACCAATCAGCCTATTTTGACCTGGTACGTGGAGTTTGGCTCAAGTCTATTGTGCAGAAACAATTTTTGCTACAAAACAGCATTTCTATGCGCATGTACAAAAGTAAATTTTGCTAAGTGTGCATAAAGTTTGCTAGCATTTGACAGAAATAAGCTTTAGTTGTAAGCTTTGGCGCGCATTTTCATTGAGAAATTGTTGTTCTACCTTACCAAAGCAGTGGAGTGTTGCCGTTTCCTACACCGCAGATTCATATAAAATGTCAAGACGATCACAATATGAATAATTAGGTTGCATCGGAGGCCGCTGCAGACTGTTCTATCCATGCTTTCTTAGACATCTCCAATTTCGATGGGACACGCACATCTAACCGCTTTGCATGAGCCATTTTGGTGCCATTTACCCGCGGAAAGTAGTGCAGGCTTTACGTCCTCCTGGCCACAGGACGCACAGGCACGGGCCGTCCGTCATATTTCTCCTTATAAAGCAAGTGTTTCTCTCCCATGCATGAACTATTCATGGAAATGATGGCCGAACGGCCTCAGGTGAAAACGTTCGTGATGAATATAGTCGGTACAGACGCGGATGGTTAGATTTGCCTTTTGCTGCGATTTTCATAAGGTAATCAGAGAGCTCGCATGTATGTCTGCTTTGTTTATATATTTACGCTGCG